TCATGAGATTATTAAAGCATCTTCAAACATTAAATTAATGACTTTAAAATGTACTCACTAAAATCATAAATCATGACTAATAAATTTGGTGTTATCTTCATACATTTAAAGTAATTATAATTATAATTATTTTTCAAATTTTATTTTGAATTCAAATCTATTTGTCCTAGAGACTATAGTAGGTGACTATTATGTGCGGCCCTAGAAGCTAGACGAGTTGCCCTAATGAAGTAGTCCTAAGCAAAGCCTCTTGATGAATGAACTTTACACATAAGTAGAGTGAGTCTTCCTACAATCATTCTAGTGAATTCATAAGAATTTTATTAAAATCTTAGCAAGTTTATATTCTTAGAGAGTTTTCGATGATTCGATCGAGTTCATATTGTTGTGTGTAAATTCATCCCTAATTATTGTGGTATGGTCATATTGGCTTGACTCTATCTCACCCACCTAACTTGTATTAATTTGGATCAACATTCACTTCTAGACAATGCAGAATGCAAAAAACAACAAACCTCATCTAAGAATTTTATCAATTTTTTGCTTCGCTCAAGACACCATAAAAAACATCACAGCTTGATAAAAACAGTATTTTTATTGGCAATCTCTTTCAACTATTTCGAGCACCCCAAAAAAATGTATTTAATTAACAGCAGCAATAGATAATCTACTAAAATAGAACACTTGTTCTAGCTCTAAATATACATTGAAGCAATAATGAACAAGCAGCACCAACATGAGACAATTAAATAAAATCTAAATTTCAATCTTACCCACGTTGAACCATGATTTACTCTCTCTAGCAATTGATCCCACACTGCTGCACATCTGGACCCGTAACTCTGGTGGTGAAAGGGTCAATTCGAACCCACAACAGGCTGAAGATCGAGGCAAGAAGAATAGACCAAACCACAACAATTGTTGGGGTTCGATTCTGCCGGCCCATTAAACCTTTTAGGAATGGGTAAAGATGAACGATCACCCAGAAGGCGAAGAAGAGCTTGCCGAATAGAGGTCCCCAAGACTGATAACCACTGTTAATGGCATAAGATATTCCCGCAACGCTTCCGACTAGGTTAATGATCAAAAGAGTTGTTGGCGGTATCAAGAGTGTGGTCCATTTGAACATGTAGAGCTCTGTAAAATCTCCTTCCTCATCTGAAGCCTTAGAAGTCACGGTAAAGTTCGTGTCGATGCCAGCGAGCACTTTGAGAAGACCTTGAAAAACAGCGAAAAGATGGGCAGAGACGCCACCGATGACCCAAAACTGTTCATTTCTCCACCATTCATCTATGCCGACGCCGCTCCATCTCATCTCTAAGATTCCAGTTGCGAAGATGGAAAGGAAGAGGGAGATGAACCAAATACTGGCGAAGTTGCTGATCTGTAATTGAAGTAGAAGTACAGTTCAGACAAGAGTGCAAACTACAGAATTCAAAAGCTCTTTAGATGGGTTGTCAAGAAAAAAAAATCAATTTACTGTCTAAAGTTTTATCAACAGCAGAGTACCTGGCATGTTTTAGAAATAATAATACCTGAAAGAAATTTGTGCAAGGATGTCCTCATCAAAATTTGGCCAAGATGGGATTTAAACTTCTATGATTTATTTTAAGATGAGTGTAATATAATA